CGTGAAATTTTTGAAGAGTGCCACCATTGTGAATATCCATACATAAGCAAAGTCAGACTAGTTGTTTAATTAGTTCTACCTTCCTAGAGCGCATTTGGAAATTGTAACCGGTGTTATCAGTAACTGCAGATAGTTACCAAGGCATTTAGAAAATGTGACCTAAATAACCATGTTTAAAAATCACTGTTGACATTACCAGTTGTCCTGCAGTACTTATCAAAGTAACTGTATGTGCCGCCAAATTTTTAAATTATTAAAAGTGTACCGTGATAAAAAAAAGGGTTGAGAATCACTGCTCTAGGCTATTCCAGATGTTTCGAAAATTATTAAAAATTTAATTTTAAATCATCAAACTACTTAATTTTATCTCTATGTTCAAATTTATTAATCCTTTAATTTAAAAAATATCAATATCAAATATCAATCTTGAAATAGTTTAAAAATAATGTGATACTTTGTTTAACCTTTAGACTTTGGTTCATATTTGTTTTACTATAAATTTATATTAAATTTCAATTCGGTGTAAACTTTTGACATTTTTAAAATGAAGTTCAAAACAAAAATTATTGTTTAAAAAATTAATCAAAGTTAACTGATATTACATCAGTTAATTTATCAATTATATATTTTATTCAGTAGGCTTTTTTTTTACAATTTGAGTTAAAGCTTAAGATAGAATTACTTTAGAACTTACAAAACAAATTAACAATCAATAATAAAATAAAAAATACATATTACTTGTGCACGCTTATATTTTAAGATGTAACAAGTAAATTTTATTTTTCATATTTTAAATCATCAACAGGCAGTTTTCATTAATCGTTAACAGACAAACAGGAAAATTAGTATTGTACTTTACTGTTAGTTTTATTTACTTTAAAGGATTTTTATTTTTAAATCAACCAAATCCTGGCATTTAGATCACTTGGTATATTAGGTGTTTGAATATTAAAATTTAATAAAGATTCTCTTAAATAATTGCATTACAGTATAAATATTTACCTTTTGCTTCTAATTCTTTAGTATCATTGTCAGAATAACTTTTTGATGGAATATTTTGTGCTATATTTATATTAATTTTCCGTTCAGTCCCAGCTTGAAGTAATTCTTTAAATATCATTTCACCCTAAAACAAATAAATTTATATTTTATAAAATTTGATTTTGTAAGAATTGCAAATTATCCTAATATTTCTACTTTATTTCATTCCTTTATTATACTTTCTGAATTACTAATTATAGATTTAATGTATTAAGTTCAAGCAACTGTAAAATTTTTTAATCAGCTTATAAATTCATCTTGCTAATAAAAATTGTTTATTTCTTACAATATAATTCAAAATTCTTTTAATGAATAAAGGTGTTTGAAACTTATGCAATGTAATTTCTTAAACTTATCATCTCATTACACATCAATGTTTAAATTTTAATTACATTAAAAAATGAATTTTCTGCCTCAATTATTCACAATATATTTAGCATAAATTGCACCACTCACAATACGCTTGATATTAAATATACCTGCTTACATACATATAAAAGCAAAATTACCATATATAGGCAATATTATCAGAAGAATGAAATCACTTTGTAAGAGACATGAATTTAACATCAATCTGTAATAATTGTAGAACTTTGCAGCTATTATGCAAATTATTATTATTTTTATTTATTTTTTGTTTGTTTTTAGTTTGTCACATATCTGTTTTTGTGCAGGTCCCTCTCTGTTTCCCTCCTCGATATCACCAGCTCTCTGCTGGCAGGTATGCAATGTGGTGATTAGCCCAAGGTGCAGTCATGTGGGACAAAGTGACATCCGTTGGCAGGCAGTATAAAAACAAGAGTAATCACGTGAAAGGGCTTTTTGTTGGTGGGATTTCTTCATATGTAGGTGACCAGAGGACGCTGCAGGTTGCAAGGACTAAAAAAGAGGTACAGGAGAACCAACCAACCATCCTAGGATTAAAGAAATCTTGAATCGAAAAGGAAATTCATTTTCATCAAGGCAATACATCAAGAGAAAAAAAGATCATCTAAAAAAAGTAAAGAACTAACTATAATGCCAACGTGACTAATGAATTTTTGGTCCCAAGGGAAATCTCATATGTTTTATTGTATACTCTTTTCCCCAACTGTTTATTTGATGTTACCTTGGTGTTATCGCTTTTTATGCAATCTATTGAAAAAAAGGAGGACTTCACATAAGGAAGGAAGGTCAGGAGAGGGAGAATCGGAATAGGAATAATATTGTAACACAATCAGACTCACAACTTTGAATCATGTATTGTTTCATTAGTCACGTATTTGTTCCCAATAAATCTTTATTTATAAAATTACACGCTGTTACACCAACTATTTGTTTTAACTGTTGTTGCGTTCAACCCCACAGACCATGTGCTATGGGAGGATCTACAGAATACTTTCATAAAGAATGAAGTAAAAGATATCATAAATAAAATTATTATACTACAGCTGAATTAATCAAAACATCTTTAGCAGTGGATGAAGTTGTTTAAACTTGTGTTACTTTGAAGCTAAAATAACTTGCGTTAGTAGATGAAACTTCATCCACTAACACAAGTTATTTAAACTTCAAGTTAACCCAGTTAATAGGCCATCTTCAGGCATAGATAAATTAAAAGAAGTAGGCTTTCACTTTCAACTGTTCATATCTGAAGATGGCCTGTTAACCAAGTCAAAAACATTGGAATGATTTAAACTTCATCCAGTTAAAGGTACATTATTTCAGCTGAGTAGTTCATCTCTATAACTATGATACATATTATTTTAGCTAATTTGTCCAAAATTATTGACAAGGTAAAATTTTTCAAAAAGAAACGAATATTAATTAAACAAATCAAATTCAGAATACAAGTCTTCAACTAGAAACTTCAACTTTTAGGATTTCAGATATATTAAAAAAAGAAAGAAATCTAACTTCATTACAATCAGTAGTATAGATTATTCCTACTTGATAATCAGTAGTATAGGTTCAGTCTCCCACTTGATAATTAGGGACCAACATTTCAAAACACATTTAAACCAATTTCTTTCAATTAAAATTAGTTTGTTTCAAAAAACATAAAACATTAACTGAGACTTTATTGTTCATAAAATAATATTTTCTTTGTCTTCTTAAACATAAAATACAAACATATCAAAGCAGATATGCATCAGAATGTATTCTCGCATTAGAAGAACAGAACTGAATCTAAATGAAAATATAACACAACATTTACACTAATTCATGGGAGTCTCTTGCACTTAAGATCTAAAGATTTCTACCCTACTGATTTCAGTCAATCTGTGACAACATGAATTTGACTCTAGATGGGTAAAAAATATAAATTTTTATATTAATAATAATAATCTATCAATACAAGTGAAATTATGTATAAAAAGTATCAAATAAAATAGAAATACAGAATAAACTTTAGATAAAAATGTCTGAGCCTACAAATTTTTGCTAGATTACAATTACTATTATTATAAATTTATTTTTAATAAAAAAGAAAACTGGTAATAACCTGCCAGTCAGAGGGATCTTGTATAACATCATTTCCCCTTAAAGTCCAATAAAAAGAAGCAATATCAATAGTATTCTGTGCCATACCAATTAAATTCATCCATCCTTCATAAGTTGACAAATGCTGTGGAGATCCTGCAGGATAAGTTAGATTTTCAGGAATGCTTTCCACTATACTTGCCCTGAATTTTAAATTAAAATATAATTTAATAATAAAATATATTTTAAAAATCATCAAAAGTACAAAAATGTATATTTTAATAAAATTTTAGTTACAGTCCACTTTTATAATTAATTTTACTATTATTTTTTCAAACAAAATTATAAATCGCTCATAAAATATAATAATAATAATCAAATACTTTCTTTTATAATATTTATTCATTCATAAAAGCAAAAATGTAATTTTTATTGTTTTTATTTTGATAAATTATTACACTTTTTGATAATTTAGATTAATTTTATTTTTAATATACTTTAAGTAAAATAGTCATTAATTTATATATATTCTTACTAGAAATTCACAATAAAAAAATATATATATATACAGTATAGATTATTTTTAAATTCTTTGTTTAGAATAGGCAAAATTTTCTAACAAAAACTATCAAGAAATTCTTTCAGATTCAATAAAACAAAAACGCATTATGTTTTTAAATCATTTTATCAATTGAATACTATTGCTTATTTTGTAATTCAGAAATATGCTTCCACTTATAACAGAGAACTAAATGTTTTTATAACAAACTATTTATTTTACTTTATTTCACAATAACATACAGCAATGTCATAATGAAAATAATGGCTGACCCTCTGAAAAATTATTTTGGAAGTCATTATTAATTTGGAAGAATAACTTTATAAAATTAAAATATTTTTAAAAAGAAAAATTTACCTCTATATATAAAACAAAGTAAAAAGTACAAATAAATTTATGAATAAATTAATTACTAAGAAATTAATACAGAGAAAGGAAAAGTAGTAAAGGTCTTTCCAGAAAGTAGTTATTAAAAGGATTAATATTCCAAAGTTTTCTGAAGGTACCAATTAATTGTTATCATTAGAGAATGATAAAACTTAATCTCTATAATTATTTAAACTGATGAACTGTTGCAGAACAAACAACACAAAAAAAATTTAATGTAACAATTCTTAACATTTCATATTTTCAATTAAAATATAATAATTATATTGCACCCAATTCTGTTTTTATACAAACTTTTTTTACACAATCAAGATTTACCTGCAAAGGGTCCCAAGCAAATTAAATTTTGAGAACTCTTGCAACTAAAAATAAAAAAAAAAAAAAAAAGGAAGCCAGAAGAAAGGCAGAAACTGAAAGAAGAATTAAACTCATTTATTACTAACACACAGCTTATTACTTTATCGTGTATATTACAACTTCTGACTCTTCTCAGCCAAACTGCTCAAATCACATCATCAAAAGTCAATTTCTGCAATTTATCATTCTCAATAAACATAAGGCTTACATCTGACAGTTTAAAACATTTATTTTCGTACACCATTGTACGCAAATAATTTTTTCACATGTTTCAGTGTGTTGAAGGATCTTTCACCTGAACAGTTTGTTATTGGTAATGTTAAAAATATTTGCATGATGCTTTTCAACAAAAATTTGATCTATGTTTTCTTCATAACTCAACAAGAAAACTTAGAAAAAAAATAAAGGAGAGAGGGTTCCTGACAAGGCAGCTCTCAGCAGGTTCCCCAAGTAGATACTTGCTTTGTTTCCTGATAATTATGTTGAGGTACATGATTTTGATTTACACAAATCAGAAAAAAATTTCATTCCCTTCTAACATGATTTGTTTTTATCTAACATGATTGATCCAAATTCTAAAAATATTTATTTTGTATTACAATGCATTGATGCATGCTTCACATTATTCACCTTTATGCTGTTGTTTTTTGTTTCAATTGGAAAAGAAATTTCTGAGAAATGCCCTTAATTATATATATCACTTCAATCTTTTTTACACATGTTCTTCAGGAACATAACTATTGTGTAAAAACAGAATTAGATGTATATAAAATTTAGTTTTATATTTTTATTATAAGTCTAAAATGTTTCTAGTTTACTAAAAAGAAATACACATACATATACTGTATATATATATATTTTTTTTTAAATTGTAAAATGATTTCTATTAGTAAATAATATAATGGATCTCTGCCAAATTTAAACACAAAAATATTATCATTTCCATTTTAAAATATCTAATTTCAATCCAAAGTTTTGTATTTATAAAATATATGAGTGAATTTCATAGCTAAAAACAATTAATATGAAATTATAAAACAAATTTATAGAATAATAATTGATAAAATACAATTTATGAATTTTTTTAGCCATGTCAAGTTAAACTTTTATGAAACAATATCATTTACATAATACTGTAAATGTTTAAATGAAGGTCAAGAAATGTCTGCAAATAACTGGTAATTTTATTTTATTTTTTATTGCTTACTACATTACTACTTTTATTAAATTATTGCTAAAAAGCATTGTTAATAAATATATTTAATAACTAAATAATTGCATATCAATAGATATATCTAACATAAATATATTGCAAATTTAGTTCTTTCACAAAAATTAAAAGTAAATTAATTTTGTAAGAAGTCTTACATCTTTATGATCTATGAGAAAAGGCACTAAATATAATGGATTATGCTTCAAATTAAAAATATTAATTACAAATTATTATTATTTGTCAAATAAGTAACATATATTTCATAAAATAAAATTTTCAGTAAATTATGCTTTTCAATTTATCTTCCCTTAATACATTAATATAAATCATGAAAACTGTATGTATATAATCAGAGCCAGCACTACCATTTAGGCAAACTAGGCAACTGCCTTGGATGCAAGGCCACGAGGAGCACAAAATTTCAAGCTATGCTTTATTCATACTTCATTAAAATATTAAATTAAATAGTGATATATGATTTAGGTATCAAATCTTTTTCCTTATCCCTCACACTATTTTACTATTTAACTATAGGTTCTTTACCTAAATGATTTGAACTTATCGCTATAAATAAAGTTTACATTAGACATTCCAATATATTAAAAGAATGATTGATTTCTTTCATATATCTCTGTTTTAATTCCCCGAATCATCACAGACAAGAAAAATTTTTTAAATATAAATCAATCATTTTTTTTACAAATGATATTTTATGTAATTTATTATACTATATATTAATGTTCTGTGCTTAAGTGTTTTAGTATTTTTAAAGAATTCTACTTATATGTAATTTATTTAATATTCAATAGGCTGCATATTTTATAATTGATCTATACTAGACCTATTGTATATATTTTATACAAAATTTTTCAAAGTTCAAACAACCTTTTAATTTAAGGATTAAACAATAAACCATACTTATGTAGAGAATTTAACGCAATAACATTCCAAAACTCCTAATTAAACTATAGAGGTGTTTTGATTGTATGAATTTTAATAATATTTATCATTGCATGTCTCTATTTATTTNATAATGTTTATAAATAGATTTATTTATAACGATTTCTTATGTTAATAATTGAAATAATTTAGTTTTGTGGGAGTTTATACCTGTCAAGATCTCTTAGAATCGCTTACATGACCCTGTCGTTGTAGAGTCGAAATAATTTAACTTCAGTCCACCTTAATGAATTAAAATGAGATAATAAGTTGTCATCTTCCGAAGAGTAATCTTTGATAACATTTTAAGAGATAACATTAAGCAAAAATTACACCTATATCGGTACGCTGTCCATTCACGTATACTCTCGTCGTACACCAAACGATATCGTGTCGCTTCGAGCGTTGTAAAAATATTATTTTATTTATTTATTTATTATATGTGATATTTAAATAAAAATATTTAACTATCTTGCTTGTTTAAAAATTTATTTTATTTTTTTCTTATAGATCTAACATGAAATCGACACTTGTATAATTCTACGGATTTGAAAATGTTAATAAGTTTTATGACGTCGTCGCACGTGAAATCGAAAATAATTTTTTTTTTTTTTTTTACTTTTTTATCATTAGACATTTTTAAATTAATTATTACGAAAAATAGAAATATATTAGAATGGTTGTGCGATATAGCGTGTTTTGATATCAATTTGACGTCATCTCTTTGTTTTTACAATTCAAATAAGCGTTTGTTAGGCCTGTATAAGTAAGCCAATGACATAGTCCGTATCAAACAGAAGATATTATATCAATTGGTTTATTTATGTAAGGCAACATCTAATTGGTAAGCGAGAAAGTTTAACAAAGTGATGTCGGGTTAATTAAGGATTTATAAAAATTTTTTTGAAAATAGTAAGTCGAAAATATACTGTATACTTGGCAACTGAGTGTATGTTTCCTCAACATACACTCAGTTGCCAACTCTCCTACACTTTCTGCAAAACTCCCGAAAGTTGGCATATTTTTAAATTTTCGGACTTTTAAACTTCTCGAAATGCGATCTCCCAATTCCAGGGTCTGCGTAATGGTTAAAACTGTTCTGAATTCTAGAAAAAATCATACATTTTTATCCACTAAAGATCGTAAATTCCACATTTTGCACTTGTAAACTCATCTATAATACTCGATACCGCATGTATCCAAATTTGATTCAGATTTTCTCAATAGTTCTTTCTATAGACAGCACTAAACACCTTACTATAATGTGTTGTACCACCATATTTGCGTGATATGTGTGTTATCTGTTTTTATATAAAAGTACTCCTAAAAGATGTTTCATTTAAGAGTAATTTTGTCAACACCACTTCTCTGTAACGGACAGTTTTTTTGGTCGTGTAGGTGTTCGTCGTAGAGAGGTTTTACTGTACTCTATTTGAATTAAGATACAACAATCCTCTACGCGTTAATTATTAATCTTGTTACAACAAGCATTAATGACGAACGAAAGATTACCTCGTCATCCTCTGTGCTATTTGTATCCGTTACTCTCTGTCGGAATGCAGCCATTAAAATTATGCAGTTGTTGTAAGAGAGGAACCAATCTCTTCTACAACAAAAAAAAAAAAAAATACATTCACGTTACCAATTTTGTCTGGAGATTTTTCTATGGAGCTCGACATTCATAATTTTCTTAGATTGACGAAATTTTCTGTGGTGGTTGGAGAAGGTTACTTAATTACAAATTACAT